TACCCCCAAAGATATTAATTGAGATTGTTCTACAGTTAATTGACTATGCAGCTTAACAATAGCCACAAGATTTACGGGTTGTGTAGAGTTTTTGTAGCAGACTTACATTTAAACAGAAGTTGTTTTTCCTTATTTTACCTGGCTCTTCTGTTTGAAGCTGTTACCTTTTGTTGGAATTGAGGCATTAATTGCAGTGGTTTGCTCTGCTCTTCTTGGAGCCAACACTTTGGTCCTTAATGTGTGTTTTTCTCTTGTTTTTTTTTCTGACAAGAGTTGTACACATGACTACCATGATAATTTAGCTAGATATTATTTTTAAAAACGTTAGCAGTCTATGGAGGGAAGGCAGTAAGAAATGAGGTTTTTGGGAGGAGGATTAATTGAAGAGTGCCTTCTCCCTTTCTTTTAATTTCTCTTAAGATTGTTAAAGCTGTTATCACAGTTTTCCATGTTGGAATTTTTAATTAGTACTATGACTTTGGGATTTATATGTAGATTTAGGCTGAAGTGCCCAGCCTATGCTGAGATGTCACATATAGAAATGGATATGCAGCCAAATCTTCAAAGCTGTTCTGCACAATTGGAGACATTTAGCACTGGATGAGTCAGGTTGAGATAATGGTTTACAGTATACAATTTTATTAATTGTTCTGTAATGGTGTTTTTCCTGCTTTTTGTTTTTGAGGACTGCTTTGCTACATATAGCCATTAACCTTCCCTTGCTAGAATTACACATCAAGGAAGCAAGAAAAGACATCCTAGTTTGTAAGCAGAAGTGTGAGGCTGGGAGGCCTTTAGACTAGGAAAATAATTTTGAGTAACAACACGTAAGGAGACTAAGCATGAATCCCCTCTGCTACCAAATCTGTACCTCCTACGATTCCTTCCAAAATGAGAAGCCAGATGCTCAACTGATAAATATGGAGTAGAATAGGAAAGAATTAGAAAATGCCAAAGGTTTTGTCTTTGAAGTGAGGAATTTCAAAACTGATCATAGTTGAGAATTAAACACGTATATTCTTGAAACAGTTACAAATTACATTTGTCTGACAAATCTAATCTTGCTTGGCAATGTCTGAGGAAGATTAGCTTTACAAAATGTGACAGAAGTAACTGCTTCAGTGGGGATGATTTTGCCAACTCTTGAACGTTCATCTGAGAAGACAAACTTGCTTAGGCTAAACTTTCTTTGACTCATAAGTACATGCAGTAAACAAACGGAAAAGGTAAAAGGTCCAATTTCAACTTGGGAGGAGGGAATATTTCAGCATTTGGGTTTTTCTTTCCCCCCCGTATAGCAACTGAATCACCTGTGGAACGGTCAGTGCAGCATCTTCAATTCTGTGGGTGGCTCCAAAGCTGTTACCACTAGTGGAGGGTGCTTTGGGAATGCTGAGGATAACGTGCTCAGTAGCAGCACTACATAAGCTGTTCGGTTCATGTCAAAGTACCCCTTTGTAACTAGTGCAATGGAGAATTTCAAAGCAAGAGTTCAGCTGTATAGCTTCTTGGTGCCAGGGATTCTCTAATATATCAAAGTTGTAAATGTGAGGCTGGATAGTTTACATGATAGTGATTTATAACTGTTGACATATCCTCTATTCAAGCTGTGTGCTATTCATGTTTGTGTTTGTTTTTAGTGGGGAATGTTTAAAAATGGATAAATATTACTTTTGTCTGGTCAGAGATTTAGAGGGGAAAAACAATACTTATAAAGGATGTTTTGTTTTTAGACACTGTTGAATCCTTTCTCTTCTTTCTTCCTAAGAAGAAAAAAAACCCACCAAAATCCAACCAAAAAAAGAAAGAAAACCCAACTGTGGCTGTTGCAGTGAAGCCAAACTGAAATCTATTTATAAGTGACCATGTGAGATGTACAGTATGATTGTGTTCAGTCTGTCTCCTGTTCCCACCTCTGAAAAGCTTAATAATTTCTGGTATCTGTGAAACAAAAGATGGTTTATAAATAAAGGCTTTTGGACTTTACCATTAAAAATGTATTTCAATATGTACAGATAATATATATGTAAAGATATATTTTTATCTGCTGCAGTTTTTATTTGATACTCTTTTGTTGTATAACTTTCTTAATCAGAAAATAAATACTCATTATAAATGAATCTCCATGTTTTCTCAGAAGCCCAGCATTGCAGTTTGTGTAATGGTAAGTGTAAGCTATAGGAAGAGTAGCGCTAGAAGGTTATGAAATCTGTAGGTGAACCACGTGTCTTACCTCACTTGTGTCCCAAGTCCAGTTCTGCTGTTTGTGTATGAGTATTTACGTTTACACTATATATGTTTGAGCATATGAAGTTATGTATGTATGCATATGTGTGTATACACGCAACCCATCTGAATGAAGGATTATTTATTTGTACACTGTGGTTTGACTAGAAGTTGAGTTGTAACTCAACTCAGCTGTTGATTTACATAATTGGGGACTGGGAAGCATGATGGAAAGACAAAATCACAAGGGAATGAGCCAGTGGTAGCCTATAAGAAGCAAAATGAACAACAGTGGGCTTTCTTAGCCCTTTAGCATCCTAACAAAATGCTATTTGTAAAATAAAAAAAAAAATACAGAAAATTAATTGCATAAAATAATACTAGGACTGAAGTAATGGAAATGTGAGAAAAAGTGAAAGACAAAGAGGCTTAGGTAAATGATCTTTCTAGAATGTGTTACTTTCAGTGATTATGACAAAGCCGCTGGCAATGGAAAGCATGATCTAGTATCAGAGTTTGAACAAATCACATGTTTATTTGGTTGCCAGTCCAGTTTCTCATACTAGGTACAGGACTTTTCTGCCAATTGTAATTTGTTAATCACATCCAGAATTCTGTACTGCAAAGTTCCATTGTACAACAGTGCAGGAAATACTGGAATTGCACAATAAGCAACAGGACTATATTTAAGAAATTATAAACATTCTGCAGTTACCTACTAGTCAAATGTAAGATATTAAAGATGTATGTCCAATAGTCAGCAAAAACATGTACTTGTTATGTTTTGTTCAGTTACTGCATAAGTGTTCTGGTTGTAGTTACTTATTTCCAGATTATTAACATAATTTGAACTGTCTAGTTGAATTGTTAAACAGCTAAACTTTTCAACAAATAAGTAAATACTAGCTTGGTGGTTTTGAGTTAGTTTCCAGTTCCCATGTTTAGACTTAAAACTCAACATTAGCTTCTTACACAAATATTTGCGGACAGGATGAAAAAAAAACAACAACAAATGGATGATTTTACTAAAGAACATTTCCATTAACATATTTGTATGAGTGGATAAAACCCATTCTTGCAAAACTAACATTCTCTTTTCAGTATAAATCTTCAAGTATTAAGTAGAGGTATTAAAATTTTATGAAACATGGTTTCCTGCTATGTTGGTTCAAAAAAACCAACCATTGTTTAAAAAATCAAAATATATCAGCCATCAGTCATCGCTGAGCAGGATGAGGCCTATCCAGTGCTTATTTAAGCAATACGTAAAATCTTGTAAGGAAATGATCTACAATGGAAGTAGAGTGGCACTGTTTCTTAAATATTTTCATTATAGTTTCCGGTACTTCGACAGCTTGAAAGCCCTGTAGTGTTGAATGTTACTACATGTTAGTTGTTAATGTGTTTTATGTTACCTTGTGGCATGAAAGTCATTGTCAGAGCAACAAACAATTTAGAAAAATTGTAAAACACTTAATGCTTCAGAGATTTCATTCAATATATTTTTGTGGCATAGGAAAAGAGAAATGTTAAAATTGTTTACAGGAATGCTGCATGTAAAAAATATTTCTTCAAATAATACATTATTCTGAAATCCCTTTATGACAGTCTCGTTCTCCAAGATGTCTCAAGTAAAAAAAAAAAAAAAGGAAGAAAATTAGGACTGATGCTGAATCTGTGTAGTATGATACTAGTATGATATTGGGTCATTTTGAGTCTTTTCCTAGCGGTGCATACTTGAACTCGTCACATGTACTGCAAAAGACTGATTATCGATAGCCCCATTTTTTTTTTCCTGTTTCCTAAAAGGCTATGTGGTATCTAGTGATACCTTTACCTGCTAGTGGTGTTTTAATCTGTAGGAAGACCCATACATAGCATTAATCTCTGGTCCATTGTGTTCCACTTCACCCTTTCAGTACAAAATTATTGACATTAGTATGTCAGTGAATCACTAACACCAAATGCATAAAAAAAGTAGTTTCAAAAAAAAAAAAAGTATTTGAGTGCTTTTGTGCTAAAAAAAAAATAATTGTTCTCTTTACTTGCCTTTTGCTTCTTATAAGAATCCTTTCCCTGCAGCTGGAAGACCTGGAAATAAATCTGATATGTCTGCTTCTAATGCCTGTTGTTACCCTCTTGAAATGATGCGATGGTTTTCTTGGTGGCTGTCAGTGTTACCCAGGTGTCTTCCTTTTTGTAGGGGCATTTCAGAAGGCCTTACTTTGCAGTGTGAGGTAGTGTTGAAATTCATCTAAGTCAAGAAATCAACCTGCCATTTTGAGGTTTAAAAAAAAATAAATCCAGGCTCATGTGTTTCTATATGAATTATAGATGATGGATCTTGAAAAACAATGGAGAGAGATTCCTTGTTTATACGATGGATTTTCAGATGTATCCTGCTAGTGGTGGTAGCAGTAGTATTTCTGAGCCACACAGGTACAGAAAAGAAAATGCTGAACTGTTTAGGAAATTTATGTGCTTTTGCTGTGATATGACTTTTACAGTTGCAGAATCTTTAGTCTAGAGTCAAAAGATGCTTTTTAAATGTATGCTTTTTGAGACAAAATAACCTTTGGAACTCTTTTGGAATTTGTAGCAAATCTACAAGTGAGCAATGAACGTGCGTAAGAATATATATTATATACGTATAAATGATCTGTATCTACTTACTGATTGCTTTGTTTTCCACAGTTTTTAAGTATGCATTGTTGCATGGCCACTGGCATGAGATATACACGTATAATAAAGCTGGCTTTTTGTCTCTTTTTCAGAGGGTTCACAGAGTTCAGTTTCAGCTTCTAATGAGATCCAGCAGAACCAGCCACAGGCACTACACTATGCGTTAGCCAATGCTCAGCAGGTTCAGATCCACCAAATAGGAGAAGATGGACAAGTCCAAGTAGTATGTACTCAGCTTTTTCTAAATTATTCCATTTAAGCAATCTAGATTATCGCAAACTTTCCTTCAGTTGAAATTTAATTTTTTATTTTAAAAAGTGACCTATCATCACTTCTTAAACATGTTTTTCAGAAATAAACATTGAAGACTTATGAAAAAAATTTTAGAGTTATTTGGCAAAAATCTTCACACGGGATTTGCTCGCAAAATTGTTGGAAATAAATGCACGTTCATTGCTGCATATAGAATTGGCTAGTTTCTACCTGGCTGTTTGCTTGCACTTGCCATAATAACAATAGCAGACCTACTAAGTATATGATTTGTGCTTCAGAGGTGGTTCTAGCTATGACTTTCAAAGCAAGAACACATTTCTTTACTTTCCTTTTAAAAAACCCTGCATTCTCAGGCATTTTTGAACATCTCTTACCTGAATATTTTACATGTGTATTCATTTAGATACATGCATATAAATAAAACCTATAAATATTGGCATTTTTAAGCCTGAGACTCCTACCATAACTCAGACATGATTATTTTTATGTATGGTTTTAGTGTACTCTGGAAAAAAACCTCAAGTTGACTTTAGTTCCTGTGTGCCACAGTTTGACTACAGGGATTATTTTAAATTCAAATTTTTAAAAAAAGTAGAAGAAAATAATGCAATAATGGATTGTGTGGCATCTCTGATGTGCAGCATTCAGAAATAGTGAATTATATCTTCACATTCATTCTTTTGTGGTAGAAACCTGAGAATTTAATGTGTGAAATCTGTCTGCCGTTAGTTTTCAAAAACTTCAGGCTTTGCAGTTTACAGCATTCATGTGTGGTCATATAACATAGAAAGTTTTTCACTGATGGTGTTGGTGTTTTGAAGGTACTCAGAAGTCTGAGTACGGGCCAGCACTCAACTGTGCCAGGCGGTGTCCAAGCACAGAACAGAAAGAAGCGTGCACGGATGCATACGCATGCGTTCTGCATGGTGATCACATAAGCCCACTTTCCTTAGAAACCAGGCTAAAGAAACAGGTTGAAATGGGCAAATAAACAAGAGTTCTTGGGAGATATTAGTCAACAATATAAATTGTAGTACACAGAGGTCTGGCTGTTGCAAAAGTTTTAGTCAATGCCATTACAAAGAAGAATCTGAAGTAGGATAACGAAGCCTCTTTGGAAGATATTTATAGTATTCTCTCCCCAAGTAAGAGAGGCAGTGCAGGAGAGAACAAGCAAAGGTACCCACTTGGAATAATTTAAACATAAAGAATGAAAACTCTCTATCAACCCAGGGAATAATCAGGTCTGGTCATGTAGAGCTGCAAATAGTCAATGTGGAAAAGGTCAAGTTGCTCAGAAATATGATGAAGAAAAAGGGGCTATGAAGGACAGATGCTTTTGGAACGTTATCAAAAAAGACATGTCTGTAAGAGCTGCTGAAGGTCTACTGGAGTAGCAGTAGAAGAGTCAGAGGAGAAAAATGTCATGGAAATTGGGGGAAAACTTCAACATGTGCTGCACAGTGTTGAAGGCAACTGACGCAGCTGTAAGCATTGCTTAAAAAGGAGGAGTTAAGTATTAGCCAGAATATTTTTTTTTAAGGAGTACATGGAAGTGGAAGGGGTTTGAGATGAAAGTGATTGAGAGGAACTCCAGACAGCAACTGTAAGAGTTATGGAGAGGAAATTGCAATAAAGAGCACGTTCTTCCAGAGTGAAAAAGGTTGCTTATAAAGTAAGAGAAGAGAAAGAGCTGGAGTGTGGGCATAAGGGGTGCTAGGAACCATTAGCTGAGAGATTCAGATAGGATTGGAATGTCCAGGCCACCTCTTTTGTTTTCCCAAAGGCCTTGCTCTTTCCTGTTATGTACCTGGATACCACATGACATAAATGGAAGTTGAGGAGCTAATCCTGGAGAGTGATTGCTTAATGGAACTAGATCCTGGATGCTTTGAGTTACTATTCTCAAACTTGGAAGAGGACTAAAGAGAAGTTCAATAAATTAATCTGCAAACTTTTCCACCCCTCCTGTCAGTTGAGAGCATCCTCAGTGAAATAATGCTCTTTCTGCAGGAACTGAGTGCAAAGGTCGCGTTGCCACTTTGCTTTTGCCATAACTTTACAGTATTATCGTGTGAATTTCTTTGTCTCTTGGTTTCCCTATATATATTAAAGAACATGTCGTCTTAACTGCTGTATGGACCTTTTTATGAGCTTTAATTGATGACTGAAAATTATTTTTTCGAGTCTTGAAAGACAAGGTAGAAGGGAATATTATATGAAATTACATGGATATGACAGACTAAACAGCTATGTTTATAGATGTAAGTGACGAAAGTTTGCCTCATTAAAAGATCTAGACTTGTCAAGTGTCCTTTAAACTGATTGTGGAATCCAGGAAAAATCCACTACAACCCACAACCACTATCTAAATGTCCTAATTTGTCACACACGAAGAGAGGTGCTAGGTTAAAACAGATGAAAATGGTATTGCTTTTTCAGTTCTAGGGAATGATCCATATAGATCAGGCTAAGAGTCATTAGTAAGGTTGTAGTTGTTTATACTATCTATGTTTAAACAAAAATCAGTATTGAATTTGTGAACAATCTAAAAGGACTGTCCTTAAAGGCCAGCTATGTATCTGCAAAAGATGAGTAAGCAGTTCTTTTTTGGAATGCTGCGTGATATAAAGGTGAATAAAGTCACCTTCTCCCCCCTCCCTTTAGTCAGAAAGGATTGCGTATATTTGAAAATGCTATAAATGGATCTTTTAAATGTTCAGTGCTTTTTCCTGGGAGCCCTGAGAGCTTCATGTTAAGGAGGGAAAGTGATTCTAATCTCAACATGGACTGGGCTGTGCTATAATTTTATATACAGTCCCTATTGTCAGAGTGATGCTTTCAGTATGCTTTTTCTCCCTATAAATAGACAGTTTCCTTCCAAAGGAAATGAAACTGTTTGAAATAGAGGGATCTGTGTTTCTTTGAAAATCACATGCAATTGTTCTTGTGTTATAAAATAAGAAGAGCCTTTGACAGAATTCCAAATGATTATCTTTAATCTCTGTCTCATGCAGACATATTAAAATGAACACAAAGCTTTATAAACCCTGAAGTAGGTTATTTAGAATCCAATCTCCCTTCAGGTAAATCACAGTAGCGAAGCCTTTGCTGGGCTAGTCAGGATGCACAAGGAATTCCGTCCACTGTCTTATCCATGTTTTGATCAAATGGTAGGCTTGATACCATTCTGAAGTGGTGGGTATGGTCAGCAATACAAAGTATTAACATTATTAAAACTGTTAGGGCAGGTTCTCCATTAACATAAACCACTGTAACAGCATTCAAATTAATGACTTCATGCCAATTTATAGCAGCTTGAGAGATAGTCTTTAGCATGGTACGGTACTTCACCATAACTTTGTGAATGTACAAAGGTATATGGATACTTACAGATACCTTTGAAAACCTCACTCTGAGTAGTTAGTCTTGGCATATCTGTTTTAAGAACTGAGTTTCCAAGGTCTTTAAATGGGATTAATGTTGCAGACACAATGCTAATCTACCAAAGGAAGTTAGTCCCATGCTTTGTGTATCAGGCAAAACTGCAGATACTTCGTTTGTAGAGAAATGCACTATATAAATGTTATTTATTATTCTGCCTATTTTCTTTCATCTTATGTGAAAATGAACCATTCTTTCTTCAAAGTCATTCTGCTTATACTTTACATAAAAAGATGGGGAAATGTAGATGCACTTTATTTTTTTTTTTAAAGCTATCTTTAATGGTTTTCATTGAATAAGCATTTTCTTTCCATAAGTTAAGCTGTATTGAATCCAAGGTAGTAGCTTCTTCCTCTAGTTATGATTTTCTTCTGATGCTCCTTGGTGTTTTCTTTTGTTGCGGATCCCACAGGGCCATCTCCACATAGCCCAGGTTCCTCAAGGGGAGCAAGTCCAAATCACGCAGGACAGTGAGGTGAGCCAAAAGTCTGAGTGCCCGTGGAGCAGATATTTTATGCTACAATAAAACTGAAGCAGTTCTTGGGTAAATAGCCCTTGAAAAAACTATGATTCAGCAGATACTAGTTATAATTGATCCTGAGGTTCAAGCACACCCCGGTGTCCGTTGGCTTCATCTGAAGTTCCCGTATGCAAGACTTTTAAGGACTACATTTGTCTGTGACAGATGAAAACATCTGGTTTTAAATTTATTACAATGTACACAGCTTCAAATAAGAGGAAGTGCTGCCAGTAAGAGAAAATGCAAAAAGCATGCAAATCAAAGAATTGGTATTTTTCCTCAAAGAAATGTGCTATTTCACTGCAAATCTCTGTTTGGGAAGCTGTTTTTTCTTCATTTAAGTGTACTTTTGAAAAGACATCTCTAAGCATATGAATAAAATCTTCATTTTGTAAAGATACTGCTTTCCATTTTAGACTTTGTAGCTACAGTTTCCTTTGAAATACTTTACATTATTAAGAATTTTTTGTAGTAGATGTAATTCCTGTAATAGAATTGTGTTGGTCTTTGGTATTGAATTTTGATAAAATGAAAAAATCTGTTAGCACAGGCAGTAACTTTATAACAACAATATATATAGTAAAGAGCACTCCATACATGTAAAAGTGTTATACTGCTAATTCTAGTTCAGTAAGGGTTTGACTTAAATTTGCAGTTTTATATAAATGAGGAAAACCAAAAATCTTACCTCAAAAGCCATACAAACAAACTTTGCATAAAAATACTGTGTACTATACAGTAACTTTCAAAAAGCAAAACGTGCTGGTGCTGAAAAACCTCCTTACTTTTTAGTCTGTTTATCCTCTGTGGTTAAAGTGCTGACCATTGAATTGTAGCTGGATTGCCAAAATAACCCTCAGCAGAATTTCCTAAATTAACAAATTTCCTTAATATTGAAGTTGTTTAATAATGAGATGAGAAACAGGCCTTTTTCAGGACAGAGCAACTTTTTAAATTCCAAAGTTGTGTTTATTGTCAATGCTCTTATTTTACAGGGAAACTTGCAGATACATCAAGTTCACGTGGGTCAAGATGGGCAGGTAGGAACAGAACCGAGTTTTAAGCAGCATTTTACTTTGCTCTTTAAAACTTAATGTTGCAGTTGGAATGATCTCATGATATTAGTGACTGTTTTAAAGAGCAAAATCTCTTCTGGTCTTTCTGTTTAAATAAACAACTTGCACAATGATAAAATGTAAGCTAAGTATTTTGTCTGTGGACTCAAAGTATTTGACCAAGCTTATTTCATTACTCCTGCAAGATACTTTATCCCTGTGTTTTATACCCTCTTGTCTTTGGCCTCTTCACTCTCATATTTACTGACTGGATTGATTATATTGTGTGTAGTATGTTCTTTTCTCTGTTCTCAACTGACACTGTGGCCAGATGTGGACTGCCGTCCATGCAAACCTAATAGCTGCTTAAACCTCAGCAATAAATGTTCTTTTTTCATTATATGCCTGTCTTGCCATATAATGTCTTTCACATCTGCTTTTGTTCTTTTTGATAAGATGACTTTATTAGATGCTTATGCATACATGAGGTAAGAAAAAGCAGCTTTTACTTTGAGTGTTGAGTCAATAAGTGATTAAATTAACAGAATTTCCATGTCAGCAAAATTGCTAACATTTGATCTCAGATGCACTTTACTAAATGTTGAGCTATATTGAAATATCCACAGCACAAAAATATTCCTGTAAGAAGCTTTCTAGCCAGGCCACTTGAATAAATGTGTTATGAATTTTTTTGTTCCTGTTGAATATTAATAAGTTGTGAGACATATGGCTAGAACTTGAATACTGCCCTGAATTGAAAAGGCCAGTGTCATGAAGGTTCTAGAACTCAAAGACCTTGAGAAGCTACCAGTACTCTGAACTTTTAACCACATACACTATTTGTGTGGGGAAGCAATCTAACTTGTATTTAAAAAATAAAAATAAAAAACCACTTTATTCTTTACTGAGACTTTAATCAGAAGTACTTTTGCAGAAGTGAGACTAGGAAAGGTGATTTTTTGGAGACATGTCAGAACCTTTGTTTTAGTACTTACAGTTCTTTTTTGCTTCTTTGGCAGATACTACTGTCCAAATTACATCTTCTTAAAAGACTAATATTAGATGGTGTTATATGTCTCAGAGTGGCGTGTAGATTAAGTTACATGCTTTTTTAATTATAGCCTAGTACCATTATTTTTCCCCTTGAAATATCTATTCATAACAAGTATTCCACAAATTGCATCGCTCTTTCTAAATAGAACCAAGGAATGTAGTTTAAAATGTCGGTGCGAGTTTATGCTGTTTAAGGGAAATGCTTGGATGACTATGTTTTCCTGAAACCCTCTATGTTAGGCAGTGAGAGGCGAGTCCTTTCATACAACAGTAGCATTCAGCTGAGTCTCATGCTAAAATAGTCATGGATTAAAAAACTGTACACTCTAGAGCAGTAAAAAACTTCCAAACTCTAAATGCCTGTAAGTGGAGTCTTGCTGATCATCTGAGCAGTTGCGTTAGTACATGCGGAATAAGGCTACGCTGGAAGAAGGGGGTTCTAAAAGGATGTGTTTGTAAATGTGTGTGTATGTGTCTGCATATATTTATGTATTTGGATAGGTGATTTATGTTTGTTGAAGTGCGTGAGAGCACACATAAGATAGGGAAGAAGAGCATGATTTAATATTTTTTTTTTTTTGGTTGAAATCACTATCAGCTTCTCTATATAAAGGCATCTGTAGTATCACGTAGTATATCATATTTGGGATAATCTTGGTTCCGCCTAAGTGGTTGCGGCTGCACATGTGTGTAGGAAATCAATTTAGCATCCAATTTTTTTTTTATAACTAACTGTACTATGGGTCCTGCTTTTAAACTTTCCTTGAAAACAAATGGTGAAGTGCTGGAGTTTTTTTTTCTTTCTTTCTTTTCTTTATGCACTTAGCTGCATTTTTGGTGCAAAAGATGCTTCTTGAGCATCAACAGCCAGGCATTGTCACACTTCAGCTCTCATCTGTGCAAATTCATAGGAACCCTCAAGCTCCTCCAAAAGTATTTGCTGCTTAACTGTTTTCCAGTGGACCAAAAAATAGGAGCAAGCAAGAACTTAGGGGATTTTTATCTCCATTCTGCGTTAGATACTGAAACCTTCATCAGCAGTTTAAGCCATGTGGGACTGTGTTGCACTTGAAGTGGATGAGTAGCACTCACATGATTCCTTGCAGCAGCTCTGCGTGTGTTACGCGAGGGGTAGAGGGGAGGTCTGTGGCTCAACTGGCTTCTGCTCATCAACTGATCTGTGTTAAGTGACCATTTTTTGAGCTATTAGCTCATAAAAATTGCGAAGGAAAATGAGTTAAACTAAACGGTGTTTGTGGTTTAAGAATGGAAGTTGAAACTAATACATTTTCCTTGGCACTTGTAGTGGGGTAAGAGCACAAGACCTGTCATAAGATAATGGTTCAGCGGTAATGTAAGTCATAACAATCCAGTGGCTTGCAATCATCTCTACATGACCTGTGATCAAAGAGACTTCTGCAGTTTTCCCACCTGTCCTTTACTTTCCAGAAGAGTGGCTTTTTTTCTGTGTTTTGAACTTTAATGCGTGCTGCCAAGGGACGCTGAAGCATATTGATAACAAGGAAAGTGTATAATGTGGCACTTCTGTTACTGAGTATTTTAAGCAAACTAATATATACTTACTAATGGTACTAACTCTTAGATTGGCTACTAAATATTCCCTTTGAAAATTAATCTCATGCTGCTGTTTTCCAGATATTTTTGTACACTTAGATGTTAGCTATTCTCTCTAGTCAGGTGAGGTTTAGTATTGTTGCCTGATGCAGGCTTTCACTCTGAATCACAAGTGAAAGGTTTACAAGAAGCTGGGAGTGCAAAGCATAAAGTTGTTAGCATCATATGAACTAAAGCATAAAATGGCATAAATCTACTGTGAAATTTTATCAGTAAAATTTCCAAGGTGATAGATAAGTTTTAAACTTCGTAATACTAGTAATAAATACCAGCTTCTCTGCAGAATGCTGCCAGTTGTTGATTTTAACCTTTTTTCCCCTTCTTGAATTCTGTCCTGGTAGTTGCACTGAATTTAGGTTTTGTTTTTCTGGCGTCATTGTTCGTGGAACTAATGAGATCATGCCAAAAAGAACGTTGTCTACCTACACATGTGTTCTATTAGCTGAAAGTTTCATATTTCAGTGCACATTTAATAAAAATACCAAACTGCAAAAATAATTAGACTTCATATTAACTAACACTTGAAGCCTTGGACCGGTGGGAATTTTTTTGGACTCTGCATTTTATACTTAAGAATTACCGGAAGTTTTCTAATTTGTCTCTCTCTTTCCTTTCTCCCGAACTCCATCCTTTTCTTCCTTTGAGCTGCAGTGTTCTGCATGCCAGGACGTGTTCAGTGTGTGTCCTGCACAAGCTGACGTAGGGCCACAGTGTTCAGAAATACACGTTGTGTATAAAGAGGTAGAATTCCTGTAGTTTGACATTCCTTGAGACTGCATTTTAGACATTCCATTTTGTTCATCCTCACAGCCAGTGTTTCTCCAATTTAGAAATTAATTAAAATGACACCAGGCAAATGGTCTTCAACTAATAGCCTTAGTTCTTAAATTAAAAAGTTAATGCACTTCAAAATCTAAAATATGATCATACATATTCCTGGAGAGCTGACGATTTGTTTCTACTCAGTGAATGAAAAATTAATAAAAGTAGCAGCATTTAGTTCATTTAGTATCAGTATCTGTAGGTAAGTTAGAAGCAGGAGGAAAATCCAGAACAAACAGCATGTATGATAGGTTTAGCAGAAAAAAGCTAGCCATTGTACATTGCTTTTGTAGTATCAGTCCTCTTACTGTGCGCATATGAAATAAACATGCAGAACTGCTGCTGCTACGTTGCGTTTTTGAAAAAAGAAACTTGGCGTCTTATATAGTTGTAGACATAGCCTCTTCCAGATAAGTTTGTAATCAAAGTGGTGCGCTGAGACCTATCCATAACTGTTGAGTTACATATACTTAGAGAGAGGGGGGTTCACATTAATAACACATTTTTCTGCTGCTTAATGAGGTATTTGTACAGAGTAGTGATTGCATTATTGTTTTCTGAACTTTGACCTTGCTGCGATGAGCTTTATGGCAGCTCTGAGGTCTAGGAGAGTTCAGATACAGGGCTGTGGAGGTAGCTCACCAAGTACGCTTTGGAAAATCATCCTCATGTGTGTAATGATCTTATGAGAGTATATGAATCCGTGATCGGAAAAGATATTCTTGGAAAATTGCTGTAGCGATGGAGAGAATACAGCAGACTTCAGTGCTGCGAAGTAGCAGATAGCTGCTGTTGGGCCTGGAAGGTTAGAATATAGACATGTATGAGAAATAGATCAGGGAGTTTGTCTTTAATGTCCTCAGGAGGAGTATGAATCTGATGTCTCGTTCAGATCTGTTTTCAATACACGTAGTACACCCTGTAATAAGAGCTCAGAAGGAGATATGACCTCATCACCTATGTTTGAAACATCTGTCCTGTTTCTGTACTCTGCTGTAGTCTGAAGTGAAGGGCAAGCTGTTAAATCGTAGAGGAATGGAAAAGGGGGAGAAATGGTTCCAAATGTTCAGGGGAAAAAGAACCTATTCTAGCAATTCCACGTAATATCCGTTGAATCTTATTTGTGACTGGATTGAACTAAGATGAAAATAGTTTGTTTGTGGAGGGAATTATTTACAAACCTATGGGACAGTCTTAAACCAACTCTTTTAGCATCTAGTTTTTGTATCTCTCTTTACCCCTCTGATTATTATTGAGATATTCACACTTTGCTTTTCAGTGAGGGCATCACATTTTTTTAAGGTCCAATTTAATCCATAACTCGAGCATGATTTTCAGTTACACAAACCAGAATGTGTTGACATATTAACTCGACTTCTGCTTGGCTGTGCATTTTGCAGGTGTCATTTTATTGGGAAAGAAACTGTTTAATGTATTTTCCGAATATGCATTTTGATTGCCTTTACTAAGGCTCT